GGGGGGATGGGGGAAGATACATGATTTATTTTATTGTCTCTGCTGATTTATTGACTTGATTTTTGATGTAAAGAACACACTTTTACTATTCTTGGCTCAGGGGGAGATGGAAATATAATAAAAGAGGGCCGCAGGCTGCCATGACAACCTGTCATGTACCCATAAAATCCTAAGATAGTGTCAAGATGGCTGCCTCCATGTGTTGTGAGGTACCCAGAAATAAATTAACTTGTGAGAGAAGATGGCTGCAATTACCTTTTATAAATGAGTAATATTCCTTTTAGTGGAGTGCAGATCCGCATCTGATCTGTGAGGTACAGAACCAAAATGGCTGCCACTATCTTGTGTTTAGAGACATTATGGCAATTGTGGGACAATATGGTGGCCGCTGTCCCTTTTGGGCTCTCACTCGTCGTTCTGCCGCCTTTCATAATAAACTGTCATTTGCAGGGAAATTTATGGAGACAACACTGTTGTTGAGACACATCGGCCTCTTTTTGGCTTTTCCAGCTCACTAGGCCTAAACTTTAGAAGTGTGTGAAGGTCGCCGGGGTTGCCCATGGCAACCAGTCAGAATCTTCTTGTATAGCGACCATTTACAGCAAAATAACAGGTTCACTTTGGAGCTGTTGAGGTACAAAGCTAAAATGGCTGCTGCCATCTTGTGTTCATCATGGCAGTTGTAAGACAATATGGACGCCGCCGTCCCTGATGAGCTGTCGTGTGCAGGGAAACCCCTCGTATGGCTGCCTTCTATGATAAACTGTCATTTACAGGGAGATTTATAGTCAGCACTGTAATTGAGGCATATTGGCCTTGTTTGGCTTTTCCAGCTCACTAGGCCTCAACTTTAGAAGTGTGTGAAGGCCGAATTTGTGTGGGACAATATGGCGGCCGCTGTCCCTGTTGTGCTTTCACAACTCGTGTGGCTGCCTTTTCACGATAAACTGTCATTTGCAGGGAAATTTATAGAGACAACACTGTTGTTGAAACACATCGGTCTCGTTTGGCTTTTCCAGCTCACTAGGCCTCAACTTTAGTAGTGTGTGAAGACCGCCTGTGTTGCCCACGGCAACCAGTCAGATTCTGCATTTACAGCAAAATAACGGGCCCATTCTGGAGCTGGGAGGAAATGTATCCCTTAATAATCTGTCATGTACCAAGAAAATACTGGACCGGTGTCAAGATGGCTGCCTCCATCATACACCTAATTCTAAAAGGTTTACAGTCGCTGTACATTTATGAATTTATGTGAGCAGACTTGTAAAGTTTAACCAATTATTTGCGCATTTAAAGCAAGGTTGGGCAACTCCGGCCCTCCAGCTGTTGTGGAACTACAAGTCCCATGATCCATTGCAAGACTCTTGACAGCCGGAAGCGTGACTCCTGGAGGCATGATAGGAATTGCAGTTAGAGGCCCGGAGTCGCCCCTGATTTAAAGTGAGCTGTCCCGAGAAATGGGTGTGTGGTGTGCACGTAGCAGGTTCCTGAAAGACACGGCAGTTGGAGGAAGCCGCAGGAGCGGTGAGATTACAGATGACTTCCTGGCTACGTGTTACAGAAGTAATACTGATATGGTGGTAGGAGCCGGGGGGCTTTCATGTGTGCAACTGCTGCCCACACCAGAGAAGCCACATCCGCATCATCAGCGGAGATAGAGGAGCCGCCGAGTGTTGAAAAGGGAGGTTCAGTTTGGAGTGCGATTCCATACAGGGCACCACGAGCCTCGCTGATGTTTCTATTAAATTACGACGCTGCTTGTTAAAGAAGTCTCACCTTGAAGGTTAGAATTCTTCTCTTTACTCCGTCCTCCAGGGGACAAAGTGCTTGTAGCACTTTCTCCCATTCCTA